TGTGTAAGTGTTGCCATGTTTAGCATGCTTGCCATGAGGCTAACTGCTTGAATGCCTGTGTGTGAAGGCTTGATTGCTTGGATTGGAACAATTCGATGATTGTGAGTTTTAAGCCCACTTGAAGTGGCAAAATCATGTTTTTTTTCCTAAGCCCACTTGAGGGTGGCAAAACCGCGTCTTAGCCTACTTGCGAGTAGCAACTTCAAACCACTTTAAAAAACAAACATGAGTTGTTTTGTTCCAATCCGCGTGATTGAGTCTATACTTGTTTGCTGTGTGTATCACGTAGTAAGGCTAGCTAATAAACCGGAATAAGAGCGCATATGTTTTCAAAAACAACATATCATGTTAGTAGAAGCCGATTCTTCGATTGGGCGAGCAGGGGTGCTCATTGCATGACCTTCCCCTCTCGTACCCAAGTTCCCGAGCCGAGGCAACTTTGGTGATGACGGACACGTGGCCTTAGGCATGAGTCAGGGTTTCCTAAATTTCTCAAAATAAAACATTTAGGTGGCGACTCTGTATCTGGCAAAGCAGTCCATGTTTGGCACTTCTTTATAAAAATTAGTTTTCCAAAACGATTTGCCGGATTTGGACTCTTTGTTGATTTACCGGTCTCACATTGCACTTTGTAAGATTAAATTCAGAACTGCAACAGGAGTCCGAATTGTAGTAGCTAAGAACAAAGCGATTCGTGCCCTCGCTCGGAGAGCGGAGTTCTCAGGGCGGTTTACACTTGTCCCTCAGGTAAAAAACAATTAGGAGTTGCCATAATCTACTCTAAGAAGATTAAGTCACAAAAACTAGAGTCCTTGCTTTGATACCAATTGTTATCCCAGGTAGGTAACCCAAGAGGGAGGTGAATTGGGTTATTAAAATTTTTTACAATATTAAAAAATAATGAACATAATATTCAGAATTTTAACAAATAAAAAACAAAATAATAATTATCAATATAAAAGTAAGAGAGATAGGGAGAAAAAATTAAACACCGAGATTTATAGTGGTTCGTCACGCCGGACCTACGTCCACTCTCCAAGGAACCTCCTCGAGAATTTTTTCACTATCAAAATGAATCAATACGCAACCAAGGCTTCACTAAGCTTGTGGATTTTGCACAGGTCTTACTTTTATCTATTAAGTTTCACTCAACAATAAATGCTTCACTCTTACAAAATTCCTTCACAAAATAATAAATAAGGATAAGAGGTACTTTAACCCTATTTTACAATAATTTTCTCACAAGGAGTAGTTATGAAAATGTAAGAACAAAGATACTACTTAGATCTGAAAGTGAAATATTGAACAATATAATCACAATTTTGAAGCACACATAATTTTTTCTCTTCAAGTTATTGATTTTTCTTTACACAAAACACTTCTATTTATACACAAAAATATACCTATTGGAGGTAGGATAATCCCTAGGCTGGTGTCTGCAAGTAGATTCTACGAGCACTACCAAACTGTCATTTTTACCGGTATTAACTGGAAGGCTCGACACCTATCCGCGCGGCTTTCGGGTCTTTCACCCTGGATACTCAGGCCAACTTATCAAATTCATCTGCACCCCCTATTCGGACTTACCAACGTATTTACCCCATACACATTTCCATTAGTTCTCATTGTAATATAATCTTTCTCAAGTAATCATGATGAGAATGCAACAATGGTGATAATTTACTTCATGCACATTGATTATATAAACTCAAATGGAAGTGAGATGCAACAATTAATATCCCATAACATTTCTCTATTTTCGAAATATCTTAGCAACAATAATAAACAAATACCTTTCCATTTTCACAATTACGTTTCTCATTTCGCAAATAATCACGTGTCTTCAACACATCACCACAAGTTCTCAACACCAACCCGTCATGACCAAACCTTTCAACATGGCCAACATGTCATCTCTCATTTCATTTCCCCATTACATTATAATTAAGCATTTCACATCATCAATGGCACTCAACAACTTACCATCTTATAACATTACAAGATTATATGAAATTTTCAAACATCATCCTCCAAGATTTCAATTTTCACTACCTATGGTGCTCAACAATTATCATCTTACCACATTACAAGTTCAAGTGTTAGCAACAATGTTAAAATACCATCTCATATCCCATGTGTCAAGTATGTTGTTATTATGATAAACATTTGGTGGAACTTACTCTCATACATCCTCTTAACACAAGAAAGTAAACAATTTCAAAGACATTTTCATTATTTTGTAAAATCCCCAATATCTAGGGTTTTTTATCAAAAACTCAACATTTCTTCACTTCATGATGAAAGCATCATCCAAATCATCCTTTTTAAACAATAAATAAGTAGTCACAAGGATCAACTTAGAAACATTTAAACCCTCATTTGAGAAATCTCATCATCTTTGAACCAAAACCAAAACTCTCAAAACAAATTCAATAGAAACACAAAATCAACATTTAACTTGCAAAACATGTATATATAACTCAAGAATATCCCTACCTCAATGATTGATGAAGAAAAGGTGAAACCCTAGCTCCTAGAAAGAGAGAGAATCTCGGATTTCCATCACCCAAGTGAAACTCCAACCTTAGATCTTCAAGATTTGGAGGTAGATAGTGGAGATCTTGACCCAAGATTTACAAGGATTTAAGTGTGTTAGATGATTGAGGGGTTTTCTAGAGAGAAGGGGGAGAAAAATAGGTTTTAGAGTGAGAGAGAGATGAACAAAAAATGAGATACATTTGGGTCCAAAAGATATAAAAAACAGGGTTTTTCGGACTGCCTAGGCCTGTTTGTGCAACCTCCCCCTCCGCTCGAGCGGCCCACGTCCATCGTTCGAGCGGCCCAATTCCTCCCGCTCGTGCGTTGATTTCAGTAAGCTTGCCCAGGTGGTTCAGCCTTCACCGGTCGTGCGGCCTAGCCCACCGCTCGAGCGGCCCTTCTCCGCACGTGCGGCCTAGGGCCCCGCATGTGCGGCCCTGGCCCAGCAGCCCAGAAATTTTGCTTTACTCCCAGCACTTCGGACTCACCTGTACGCCCTTCGAAACAAGTGAAATTCAACACCGACCAAATAAGAATTAGAATTGTAATCTAGGGAACCATTTCCGGACACCTCAAAGCCAGCGAAGATGAAATGTGAACGAAAGAAAGAAAGAAAGAAATAAATAAAGAAAGGAGGGAGGACCCGGTCGCCACAATTTATCTCTCTCAATCTGATATGAGTGGATCCCTACATTGGCCTTCCCCATTGTCATTCTTAATTTTGAGTCTATCATTTTAAAATAAAAAAGTTTAAATTCAAAATTATGTAAAAATTGGGATCCAAAAAATTTATACATTTTATACTAAGTTCAAAATTAAAATATTCTTAATAAGCCTCACTCAAATGGAGTCCAAATCCAAAAGGTCCAAAATTATTATTTTTAATTCAGCTAGCAACCAAAAAAAAAAAAATTAAAATGAGTAATGTTTAATTAGTAATTTTGTAGTTTATTATATTATCCATTGAAAAGGATATAATAGATAAGCTTCATTATGCAAGTTTAATTAGTAACTTTGCAATTAAAAATATAAGAAGAGTAACATTTAAGTGAAATTTTGTTGTATTTAAATTATTGTTTTCATATAATTTATATTTTTAAAAATTGTGTAATGAATTTTGCTAAACTATGAAGTAACAAAATCATTTATTTATTTATTTTTATCTTTTTGAGTTCTTGAAATGATTCCTTAATATCTTAATCCGTATAAGAAAATTTTAGTAATTATGTTCAAACAATACTAATAAATATAAATAATAATAATAAAAAAGTTTTTAACAGAGTTTAAAAGAATTATTCATTCTCTGTTGCACTCATTTTTATACAAAATTTACAATTTTTATAAGATTCTTATTATTTGTTTTAATAGAGTTTAAATTTTTTATTTTTTATTATTTTTGTAAACATTTTTCTGACAATCAAAAAATAAAAATCCTAGAATTCAATTGTGCATTAAAAAATAAAAAATAAAAAATAAAAAACCCCTAACCCTAATTTGTGCATTCAAATTCAATTGAAAACCCTAGAATTTGGTTAGGGTTAGGGCTAGGGCTAGGACTATGGTTCAATCTGTGAATTTAAAACCACAATTTCAATTCACAAATCTTATTCTACCCACATTAATATCAATTTCAATGCACAATATTTTCGCATTCACAAACCCTATTCTACCATCATTTTCATCAATTCACAACATTTTTACATTCACAAACCATATTGTACCCACATTGTACCCACATTCACATTTTCATAAACAAAATCAATACATATAAAATTCAAACTGAGAGAGAGAGAGAAACAAACAGTTCACATACCAGCACACGCGCGAGAGAGAGAGAGAGAGAGAGAGAGCAGAGAGAGTAGAGAACCCACAGAGAGAGAGAGTGAGAGCAGATGGAGAACTGGTTCAAGGAAAAAAAAAATGAAGTTTATAAAAAGCGTAGTTGCAAATGAGAGGGTGTGTCATTTTATATAACTTTTAAAAGCGTGGTTATAAATCACGCTTTCTTTTAAAAGCAAATTTTTTTTAAAAGCGTAATTTCTAACCACGTTTTCTGTTGAAAGCGCGATTCTGAAACACGGTTTCACGAAAGATGAAAATGCTAATAGGAACAACGTTTTCTTAATTAAAAGCGTATTTTGTAATCACGCTTTTATGATTTTATTCATTTTGTACGCCTGAGCCAAAGACATGCTGAAAGGATATTTTGGAAACATGATTCAACTTATTCTAAAATTTCGCAAAAACAAGGCTTAGTTTGGAAAATAAGGGATAGTTTGACATCTCCTAAATAATCTATTTTTTTTATTTTTTTCATCACATCCCCCTTTATTTTTCTACATATCTTTTCATAAAATGATAAAAGATAAAATTTAGATTATCCTAAACAAACCTAATTGGTGGGGGTGGCTATTTTCGAAAAAGCCTCAATATTTAAAGCCCTCAGCATTTTGTTGCGTATTTGACTGCTTCTTCCACTTCTACCTCAGCTCCTCCACCACCACTCCTCCGCCGGATTTCCTTCCTCCACCACCGTCGCCCCCGCCACCGCCACCGCCACTTCCGTCTAACTCTCACTGTTCCTCTTCTATATTTATCTTATCTTATGTCTATCTATATATACCCCTATATAAACGCAAACATTAACATTGCCGCCTCTATTACCCTATACATACTCTCTTCCTCTTCCTGTTCATCTCCTTATTTTCTCTCTCCAACAAATGAAAATTTTCCTCCTATTTTCCCGGCGAGTCACCTTCTCCGCCGCCGCCGCCAGCACCGCCGTCAATTTTCCTGATTATGAATTTTCCTGATCCCGGCGCCATGATGAAGGAGGCGGCGCAATTATTGTGCGGCGAGGAAAGGGAGGCGAAGATGAATGAGAGTGTAGGTGATAGAATTTCAGGTATTCTGTATAAGTGGGTGAATTTGGGTAAACGTTGGCGTCGAAGGTGGTTTGTGTTGGAAGATGGTGTTCTTTCATATTATAAAATACACGGACATCATAAAATTGATCTCAATCTAGAGACTGATAAACGATCCACAGTCCTCGGTGAAGATTCACTCCGCCTAATTTCTCCTCGTCACAATCACAATATTATTATTAATGGTACCTCTCAGCTCCGGCCGAAGCCTGTTGGTCAAGTTCATCTCAAGGTTTAAAAAATCTCTCTCCTATAATCACACACACACACACACACACACACACACACACACACACACACACATATACAATGCTAAATTCTATTTGCATGTCATAGTTTTATAATGCAATTGCAGATTTTAGTTTTAGCTGATTTTAATTCATGTTAGGATCCTTTTCCTATATTTCAATTCTAGTTGGTTTTAATTTTATATTTCTTTTTTGATTAACCATACGACTTATATCGTGGTTGTTAGAATTTTACATTTGATTCCATTTCGATAGGTTTTTCAAGCAAAACATTTGATTCGTGCAGTTGAATCTTAAATTAATTGAACTTACAATTGATTACGATTCATTGCAATTCAAGTGATTCAGAACAAGAAAATTTAGGAATAAAGAGAAAAAAATCAACTAATGATATTGATATGTGGTTTTATTTGTTTATACATATATACAATTTAGTTATATTGATATTAATTTCATATATTTTTATATGTAGTATGTTAAATGATTCGATACAATTAAAGATTCTATATTTTAACAACACGATTCACTATTCGATTCGTGATTTGACAACAATGCTTATATTTATTGAATTTCCAATTTTATTTGTGCGTTGCAGGTTTCATCAATACGGGAGAGCAGGTCAGATGACAAGAGGTTTTTAATTTTTACGGGTAGTAAGAGACTGCACTTGAGGGCCGAGACTCGAGAAGATCGAGTGGCTTGGATAGATGCATTGCAAGCTATAAAAGACTTGTTCCCCAGGGTCTCTAACAGTGAACTAATGGCTCCTGTGGACAATGTTGTTGTGTCAACCGAGAAATTGAGGCAGCTGTTATTGGAAGAAGGTGTGAGTGAGGCAGCCATCCAGGACAGTGAGCAAATCATGAGAAACGAGTTTGCTGCGCTGCAGAATCAACTTATGCTGCTCAAAGAGAAGCATTGGCTCCTTCTTGATTCACTGCGGCAGTTAGAGGTACATGTAATGATTAGTAGAAAAAATCTTGCTAATCGCATTCGGAATTCTTCTTCAGTTTCTTCTGCACAAAATCATGTACATCCTAGCTCTTCTGAAATCCTGCAAATTAATTCTCCTTCAGCTTCTTCTGCACAGAATTGTGTACATCCTAGTGCTTCAGAAACTCCCCCAAATTAGCTGCCCTGCTGCTGGGAATTTTTGACTTTTTTCCTTTTTGTTTTTGTTTCTATAGTTGTAACTTCATATCTCTCCCAATTCTTTTGTATAGATTGTTAAATGGGGAAATCTTTGAACATAATTATTTTAAGTAACTGATTAAACTTGGATGAGTGTTTGTTGATGTTATCTACATGGATTTTTTAAACTGATGTTATTTTTCTGTGTTTTTAAATGGAATTGAAGCAAGTTTTTTTAATGATATGTTTTTGTTGTGGAATCTAGAAAAATTGGCGTATGTGTATCTTCTTTGGAGATTGATATTGATACCGTCTCTTTTAGCTTGTCAGTTGTTCTAGTGATGACCTTCTTTCGAAATCTTTCCTGCAAACCTCAGAACAAATGCAATATTGAAACATATATTTGGGTTTTAGATGTCCTCCTTAATTAAGGCTGCTGCCACCCAAAATCTAAACATAGTTTCTTATGTTTTCTTGAATATGATTTTCTATGAATTTACATCTCAATGAGAAAAATAAGAAAATCATCTAGTTATATATTTCAAATAGTTTCTTATGTTTTCTTCAATGCATATGTACTTTCCAACTTAAAGTACTTCATTGAAGGTACTTTAAGACTTGAGTTGACAGGTGCTTCACTAGAGTTTTCATTTCTTTAGATTGACAAACATTCATAAGTTAAATTATGAGTTGGCCTAAAATACTTTAGGAATTATTATGAAGTGTCTATAGATCTTTGGAAAAAGTTCAAAGGGGAAAATTTGCTTAGCCCCTTTATACTTTGCCCCGAAAACACATGCACCCCCTCAATTTTAAAAACTACACTTGCACCCCTTGTACTCTGGACGAAAGTGAAAACAGTAGTTTTTCCAATCGAAAAAAATTGAGAGTGGGGCACACGCTGAAATGACAATCAATTTTTTTTTTAATAGTTAGAATGCATGTTATACCATCCACTTGGAATATAAATACAAAATATATATATATGTATATATACCTACAAAACAGTACGCAAAGTCATCCTTTCCTTCTTTCTTTTTTTGAGTATATTTATAAGGTAGATGATGCAGGACAAGTGGTGGATTTGCAAAACAGAGGCTACTTGACAGCCTAAACAGTGTGTACTTTATGGTTTTAAGGGTGAAATCAAAGGCTAATAGGCAGGGGAGGGATTAGAGTTTGCTTTGGCGATGAATGGATATGGTTTTGAGGTTGAAAAGTGTACTTTTAGAGGGTTGTGAATAGTGATCCGAGAATAGTAAATTGAAACAGAAGAGAAGAAGATAGGTCTAGGCATCGCACAATCCATAAAGAAGCTTCAAAACCCTCAAATTTTTATAAAATATCAATTCCCTTGAATTAGAAACATTACATGACTTTATATAGACTTTAGAGGCTTCCTTAACCAACTCGAACCAAAAAAGGAAACTACTATAATATCTTAGACTTCCAAAACTAATTTAAGACCAAATAAGATACATAAATAAAAACTAATTAAATAACTTGACCCATAAGACAACCCATAGGCGACCCACAAAACCCATATTTAGAACTTCGGCAAATTATCAAAATACTCATAAGCTTAAAATCTTAGAAAACATAAATATAATTATAAAATAAGACTCTAATAATATTAGAAACATGTTTATGAATGGTTCCTATTACTTTTTTTTTTTTTTTTGAAATCATGCCAATTTTCAAATATCGCCACTTCTCTGAGTTTACTTTTCCTTGAGCTTCTTATGTTTTGTATCATTCTCCCTTGGTTGGAAAATACTCAACCTCGAGTTTTGAAGTGCTTGAGTATAAGAATCCATATGTTTTGAAATTGCATCCATAACTTCACATTAAAATGTTCAAGTTCACGCCGCCTCTTCTTCGTTGAGATTGCAAAAAAAATAATGAGAGATTGATCTTTTCAATCATGTCACTAAATATTTCTGGAATAACAAAGTCAATTGGCATAAAAATCAAATCTTTAAATTCGTCCAAACCAGTTTTCATAAGACTTTCTTCAATATTCCCAACAACTTCGATTCTTTCTTTTCAACCTCTTTTCCTAGCACAAGGTCATCTTTTGATTCACCAATGACTACTTCATTGATTATGGTTGGAGCAAATTCACTAGGTGACTTTGCAGGCACTACCTCGGAGACCTCGGGTTGCAATATAAGTTCTGGAACAGCAGCAGGATGCATTAATTCTTCACTCCTTATAGCTTGTGTGACATTCGAGTCTTCTATTTGGACATCATCCTCTTCTTGAGTAACAATTAGATCTTCTTGGGGTGCTTTTGAATCATCAATCAGAGCCCTTTCACCTTCATTAACCTCGTCATTAATCACTTTGGCTTGATTTCCATTATCTTCCTCCACTTGTAACTCTAATGGCTTAGAGCTTTGATGTCTAACAACATTCATTCCCGTTAATGGTTCATCAGTGGACTTAGATATTGAGTTAGCCACCTCCAGGTGCATATTAGATGCAGGACTAGCAGTGTAACTTTTGAATGGTGTCCTTACCTTGACACAAATATCACTCAATTCCTTACTTTCAACTTTTTGTGCTTCAAGGATGATACATGCAGTTTTGATTGGAGACTTCTCAACCTTCTCAACCTTCATAATCTGATTATCTTGCATCTTGTGCAGATTTTGATTGTTCTTCTTCACTTGTAACATCAATTGCACAGGGTTTTGGTTTTCACCAATAGGTTTTAGCTTTGGTGTGACTTCTTGTGCGTGCTCCATGCTATATCTTGATTGACGTGGTACTTCTTGCTTAATAATAGGCCTTAAACCATGTTTAAATCCAGCAAGTTTTTGGCGTGTGTCTTCCACAACTTGATTTCGCGAGTCAAGTGCCTTGAGTCTTTGCATATATTCTTCAAGCAAAGTGCAGCCATGTCTTGAACTAACAAGCTGCTCGTGTGACTCTACAGGATTATTTGAAGGCATATACTTCCTTTGAAGCTTAGCTTTCATCTCTTGCCATGTGCTTATTGGTGGCAATTCCAATCTTCTTATATTTTCTTCAACACAATACCACAAAAGTTTTGCCAATCCTGCAAGTTTCATCTTAGCAAATCTCGCTTTCTGATCACCCGTCCAATCATAGCAATGAAAATATTCCTCAATTGAAACAAGCCAATTAGAGAACACCATAGGATCATCTCTTCCTTCAAAATCCAAAACTTCGCTGTTATGGGGTATAACATATTGTTGCACATAAGATCTCCCACTTTGTAAGAACATGGTGGTGAAACCTTAAGCTTTGATACTAAACTGATGCAAGATAAATAGTGGATTTGCAAAACAGAGGCTATTTGACGGCCTAAACAGTGTGTACTTTAGGGTTTTAGGGGTGAAATTAAAGACTAATAGGTTTGGGAAGGGATTAGGATTGCTTTGGGGATGAATGGATAGGGTTTTGCGATTGAAAAGTGTACTTTTAGAGGGCTGTGAATAGTAATCCGAGAATAGTAAATTGAAACAAAAAAGAAGAAGATAGGTCTAGGCATCACACCTAGATTCCATAGGCATCACAATTAGGGTTTGATTGCATTACACCATCCATAAAGAAGCTTCAAAACTCTCAAATTTTTATAAAATATTAATTTCCTTGAATTAGAAGCATTACATGACTTTATATAGATTTTAGAGACTTTCTAAATCAACTCGAACCAAAAAAGGAAACTACTATAATATTTTAGACTTCCAAAACTAATTTAAGACTAAATAAGAAATATAAATAAAAACTAATTAAATAACTTGACCCATAAGACAACCCATGGGATACCCACAAAACCCGTATTTAGAATTTTTGCAAATTACCAAAATATCCCTAAGCTTAAAATCCTAGAAAACATAAATATAATTATAAAATAAGACTGTAATAATATTAGAAACATGATTATAAATGGTTCCTATTAGTTTTTTTTTTATTGAAATCATGCCAATTTCCTAATATGGCCACTTCTTTGAGTTTACTTTTCGTTTCGTTGAGCTTCTTATGTTCTATATCAGTTGAGTCATCCTTGCACCATATTTTTTAAGAATTGAAGGTTAATACTCTCTCTTCAACAAAACTTGGAACTATCTTGGACTCTCAAAAAATGATCAGCGAACTTCACTGCGTATCTTTTGCAAGATATCCATGATAACACAGAGAAGGCACTACAATAATTGAAACAACCGAAGGCACATTTTTTTTCCTCCTTGCATGACATTGTCTTCCTTTAATTTAGGATCTGCCTGGCTTAAATTCAGAAGCACCTTTGATATTACCAAATCATGGTGAGGTTCCCATTGCCATTTCACGTAATAGCAAAGAACCAGAATTTACTTTCTATGGCCTTTGCTGGCTATGAAATGAGAAATAGACGAGAGGACTCTGATTGCAACCACATCCAATTTCAAAAAATGCCCTCAAAAGTACTTCTCATAGAAGCAGCATCTGAATGCTCACCACACCTCCAGTTAGAAAATTCAGAGCATTGCTAATAGGGGTGGGGAGGGGCTGGGTGGTGGGAAAAGGTATGAATTTGTTCATGGGAAATCTTGTGTTTTCCCATTTTCTGTTAATGCCATCCATGTTGTCACTTAAGTCCAGAGTATAAGGAGTATAAGCGTGTATGTTTTTAAAGTTGAGAGTATATGTGTTATCAGGGCAAATTAAAAGGGGTAAAGTGAATTTTTCCTGAGTTCAAACCTCAGATTTCTTAGTATCTGGGATGGGACAGAAAACTTCCACTAAACCGCATCTAATCTAATTCTTTTGGCTCGGTTGGTGTGAATTTTTGTTTTCCCAAATTTCAATTTA